ACCTATTTAAAATATTAATTAATAGATAACTTTTATATTACTAATTAATCAAATAAGTAACTGCACGACATTGTCATACCAAACCAGGAACGGATGAATATAAGCTTAATTTTAGACAACTCCAATACGAAATTAGATAAAATAAATATCGGGTATACAACTTAATACAGCATAACTATATTGATATGAGATACTATAATTTAAACAAACAAGAAATTTCATAGTATTTTTAGATATTTATAGTATAGAGTGTAAAATACCTCTTTAAAAACATATCATACCAATCTATTATAATTTTCTAATGCTAGCCCTAATAATGCATAAGCCCCGGAATAGATATTAAGTATAGGGGTATTTCACACCCACCGGATCGGCCAAAAAATCATTTGGCTAATTTTTTATCAGGTGTCCCAGAATAATGAAAACAGCTCATTTTCATTGAATCACGAATCACTTTAAGTGCACCATATTTCCACGCAATATTAATTCTATCGAACCAACATGCAAAATATACAGTTGCAAATCCTCCTTTTCCCGATTCCCGAATAATTGTGAACTCATTATAATCAATCCAAGATAATTTAAATCTCTCATCGTCTAATATTCTTTTAAGTTCAGGATTGATATTATCAGGTGTTTTATTAGTTTCCAAAAGGCTTCTATATTTTCTGAACCAATAATTTGCGTTTTGGATATCTTTCTTTGTACCTGTACCATCACGATAACATATAGCAATATTATACATTGCACTTATAATACCCATATTAGCAGTTTTTTCATAGTATTCAAATGCTTTATTATAATCTTTGATCAACCCCATCTCCACTTTCATAACAAACACCAACACAACACATTGCAGTAGCATTGTCTAAGTCAGCAGATTTCTTATAATATTCAAATGATTTTTGGTTATTTATCTCTACTCCAATTCCATAATCATAACAAAGACCAATTTCATTCATCGCAACTGGATTTCCTATCTCAGCTGCTCTTATATAATATTCAAAAGCCTTCTTTTCGTCTTTCTCAACGCCAACACCATATTCATAATTGCAACCAAGTTCACGAATTTGATTAGAATCCATTTTTTTAAAAAAAATTTTATGCCAAAATATAAAAAATTTAATTGCCTGGAGTGCGGCGGAGGACATTTAATGTTTATTCATAGTTGTACAAAAGTTACATCAATAAATATGTTTTTGATTAGTTGGCCTATATCATTGCATCAGTAACATAATTTTGAAAATTTTCATATCTGTCTGCATGCATATTTGTATTTTAGTGCAACAAAAACTAAAAATTTTACTATATAACAAGTGTTAAAAATTTGAAAAGGTTAGGTTTAGGCCGCAGATAAGTTGCTAGATACATTCATATTAGATCTATTTAGGAATATGTCTGAGTTCTTATTCTTAGTACTAAGCTTAAAATACAAAACCTTTTCCTATTTTGTAAAAAGTTTTTGTTAAGTTTAATAAAGATAAGAGCATGGTCTCACCTTTAACATTAAAAAAAAAAATTTGAAAAAGTGCCTAAAAGAATAGCTCTCTCAATTTGATTACCTTAGTTTATTAAAATATAAAGTTGATGCAAAAAGGTTAAAAATGCTATATGACATCAAAGGTGCTTTCTTTTCTTTACTTATAATGCTCAATGATGAGTACAAACAAAAAAAAGAATAAGTCTCCCTCTCAAATTACACTGCGCGAATTCGTAAGCAAAAAGATGCAATCAGTTTTAAATATTCAAGCAAGACAAGAGAGAAGATACTGGCGTGGGGTTTGGCATTTGATAGAATTGCTTAAGCTTCTTCAATTATTGGATAATTTGAATCTTAATTGAAGTTATTAATAAAAATATATGTTTTCAAAATACAATATAAATAAATCTATCAAACCTTCCTAAAGAATATTACTAATTTATTTTGTAACAGTACCTCTACAATAATAATGGTCCAATCATGGCTCTGTACTGCATTGCTTAGAACTATTCTAAAACTTTTGTTGTTTTTTTCTAGATCTTGCACAATATCATACTTTTTGTTTGTTTATAAATTTATTATAAACTACATCTTCAAAATTTTCAGGTTTGATAAATTCTCTTACATTCATGATCATATTCTGCCCTTGAAGTTTCCATTTTTTTTCTTTATTTATACATGTGTTAAGCATTTGATACATGTTTTTTATTATTCTTAAATTATTAATTTTGTTTATTTTTCAACAAAATGAACATTTGATTAGATAAAATAATCAGCTTCCACTAGTTAAATTTTTACAAAATATGAAATTTTTAAACAATCATTTTAACAATACTATATTATAATCATAAATGACAATATACTATTTATTATATTAATTTCGGATGATTTTAAACAACTACATAACTGATTTTGGTGGTCATGCTAGGTTTGTGTGATGAGACGCTTGAGAACACCCCTAGTCGAAAAATGGGAATATATTATTTTAAATTTCATACGTAGAACTTAAATATAATATGTTGAAAAATTTAATAACTCTTATTTATTTTATAAAACACAACTTTTAATAGCATAGAATAATAGATTTGGACTGAGCGGCCGGGCCTAATTTTAAATCAAGCTCGGCCCGGCCCACTACTGTGGGGTTCGTTAAACAACTAATTTACTTTGAACGGCCTTATATAAAAGTAATATGGCAAACATATCTAGCAAGAATTAAAGATTTCTGCTAAGAAATATAAATTTGAAGATTTGTATACATACAATTCGCGAAAATCATACGCATCAGATCATGCGATCGTTAATCAAATACTTTTTTTTTTTTTTAAATAAACGGGCAAGTTGCATAGATAAAAATTTTCGCTTTTATATCACATAAAATTATGAGTTAGGTTCAAATAACGAGATTTTTATATAAAATAATGTTACAAACTTAAATCACAAAAAAAGAATATATAAAGAATTTTTTGGAATATAAACTATCCTTACTTAATTTATTTACCTAACTTCTTTAGTAGAGCAATTGCTTTTCCATGGTTACTATTAGCAGCTAATCTTAAATAATTTAACCCACGCACTTCATCCTTCTTAACTTTAAGTTTTCCATTGAAATAAATATCTCCCAGATAATACATTGCATCAATATTTCGACTTTCGGGATTTTCAGCGGCTAATTCAAAATAATGAACTATTTCCTTGCGTAATTTATCTTTAGTAGCTTCATCAGTCGTTTCTATAAGCTCTTTAAGCAATAAAACTGCATATCTACATTGTGATTCAGAGTGATTATGCTCATCAGCAGCTTCTTTGAAATACTTTCTGGCCTGAATTGGATTTTTTTCTCCATGGTATCCGTAAAGTAGATAATACGCTACCCAAAATTTTGCTAACGGATTATTAAGTTCAGCATTTTGTTTAAAGCACTCCCATGCATTCTTATAATCATTCTTTTTATGCATCTCTATACCATCTTCGAGAGGTATAACGTCTTCATTCTTTTTATGCATCTCTATACCATCTTCGAGAGGTATAACGTCTTCAATTTCTTCTTCATCATCCTCAGGAAATTTAGGAATTTCAAGATGCAAACATGCAGACTTCATAATACCTATATAATCCGTCTAAAAAAATTAATTATAAAAAAAAGTTCAAAATTGATTAGAATAAAAAAAGTTAAAATTAATATAATGAGTATATTATATTTCCAAATGACTAAACTTACTACAAGTTTATTATCAAGCTGTTCGAATAACTAAAGTAGGTCAGGTAATAATAAAAAAAAAGTTTAAAATTAATCGTTATATGCTTCATAATAATTGTCGCAGCTGATGCTGAAAACGGCTGATGATGAAATTTTGGGGTCTCTATTTAGAACTATAAGACCTATTAAAACCCATCTATACACTTTAATTAATAAACCCTGACCCTAAACTCTACTCAAACTATTATATGAAGACTAAAAAA